CTCAAGACCTTTTAAAAGTATTGAAGAGCAAAGATGTCAGCTTGAGGACTAAGATGAGCCTGACCCAAGCCATGGTATTTTCAATAACCCCATATACATGCAAAAGCTGGACAGTGAATAAGGAAGACCGTATAAGAATTGTTGCTTTTGAGTTATGGTGTTGGAGGAGAATATTGCAAGTGCCATGGGCTGCCAAAAGAACCAGTAGATCTGTTTTGGAAGAAGTGCAGCCAGAGTGCTTTTTGGAGGCCAAGATGGTCAAACTTCGTTTCTCATACTTTGGACATATTGTCAGGAGGGACCAGTCGCTGGAGAAGGACATCATATTTGGTAAAGTAGAGGGACAGAGAAAGAAAGGAATACCCCCAACAAGATGGATTGCCAAGTGGCATCATCAATGGACTCAAGTGTGGCAACAATAGTGAGTTTGGTCCAGGATCGGGCAGTGCTTTTTTTCTGCTGGGCATAGGGTTGCTATGAGTCGTTACCAACTCGTTGGCATCTAACAACAAAAACATGGGATTTCTACTTTAAATCTCTATTATAATTTAAACCAACCAGATGCTCCTTAAAAATCCCTATACAGGATTTCTGTGATTCAGAACCAACACGTTGGCACTTGACAATAACAGTGGGCATCTTATTCCCAGTTTATTTATAAAATGTTTTGGTCAGTCTATTGTTATTCTCAACTAAGAGCTCTCCGACAGGAAGCTGGGAGGATACACATTCAACACTGATTCTTTTCAATACAGGTCTTAAAGGTAGACTTCTAACACAGGGAAAGCTCTAGATTTTGCTCAAATGAAAAGAAGTCCTCAGAATTGAAGTTTTCAGGAAGCTCTCATGTAAAACAGTGACAGTTTTCTGTGACTGGGATGACTGGAATATTGAGAGCCTTTATCCCTTTCCAATATCTGCTATAGATGATGGTCCTCACAACTAGCATCTTTGCAAGAGTGTTGGTTTCCAAGTTAGGTAGAACTGTGGGAAAAACTATACAGAGAGCAAGTTAAAATGCAACAAAGCTCACTATTCTTACCAAGATTCAGTAATTGTTTTTGAATAAACGGTCTGTAGGTTATAGTATGCCTTTGTTTAGAAAATGTTGATTTTGACAATTTTTGTCAGTGTATTCATTGCCTCTAGATAGCCCAAAGGCTAAGCACATGTCTACTAATTGAATAGTTGACAGTTTGGATTCACCAATAAGTCTACTGGAGAAATACTCACCCTATGGGACATTTTTATATTTATATTATGAGATGAAAATCGAATCAACTGTTTATAACAAACTAACAGCATTCATTGTCTATTCTAAAATCTTTATTCTACTGTTCCAGAGAGTACCTTTTGGATTTGAGTAGACAAATACTCTGAGATCAATTATTTTCTGGTTGTTGTTGTTGTTGTTGTTTTCCCTTCAAAATAGTTATACACCTGTTCCCAGAAATTTAAAATGATATGGTTATTTTATTCACATGTATTAATTATTTCTGGACTTTAAGAAAAGAATATCTAGTCTATTGATATGATAAATTATGTCACTTAGAACACTTTAGTGATTTTAACTTGGGATATATCATGGTGTGGTGCTGTGGGTTAATGCACTGAACTGCAAAGTTTGTTTGAACTTCAAGCTTGATGGTTCAAGCTCAACCGGTTGGTCCCCAGAACACCATATAGGGTCTCTATGGGTCAGAACCAACTCAACGGCACTTAACAACAACAACAAGATATTATTAAAGTATATATAACTTAATGGATAATTACAAGTGTGAAAATTATGATTAAGAGCTATTCATTTTGGCTAAACTTTAGAAAACTTATGCTCTAGATTTATTAATCTTAAATATGCAATTAAAAAATAAAGGCAAACGTGGCATTTATTACTTTATATACAAGTGCATATATTTATATTAAATACCTAAAAACTGTATTTATGAGTAATAGTAAAGTTTTTAAACAAAACACATCTTCAAAACATGGTAATTATAGATAATTCACTTTATAAGTCTAACAGTGATTATTTTGTTAATTTTAAATATATTTAGTTGATTTGTTTTGCTCCATTATACACCTTTAAAGAATGAATTATTATAATACATGCTAATTGCAAACATCTTGTTTCATTTCATTTTGTTTTGATTTTTTTGATAGGATTTTGGAGATGATGGGTCCTTGTATATAACTAAAGTTACCACAACTCACATGGGCAATTATACCTGCTATGCAGAGGGCTATGAGCACATCTATCAGACTCACATCTTTCAAGTGAATGGTAAGTAATGTCAACTTGATACATATCTATATGCTTATAAGAGGGCTTCAAAAGTTCATGGAAAAATGGAATGAAAAGATAATGTATATTTCCATGAAATTCCTGAAACCCATCATATAAACATTAATATACATATGCATTTTATATTTTCTTCAAAAACATTTTTGCTTCACTAGATGTTCAAAGCATATCACAGTTAATTAGAAAACAAGTCTTCCAATTTTGAATTTAGTCAAAATTTGACTTTTTTTTGCATTTTGGGACTTAATGTTTATTAGGAAGTATTTTCAATTAAGGGGGAAAAAAGTACCCAAGTGAATATATGCTTTATTAATACTACTTTTTTTTCGTCAGGAAATATTACTGATTTTAATTGTAAAATTCTAGCATAGGAAATTTAAATTATGTTTTCAGCTTTGAAATATCACCAATTATTCAAACATGGATCAGCCAGGTGGCATCATTGATGGACTCAGGTGTGGCAGCGGTAGTGAGGTTGGCCCAGGATCGAACATTGTTTCGTTCTGCTGTGCATGGGGTCGCTATGAGTCGGTTCCGACTCTATGGCACCTGACAACAACAACAACAATTCAAACATAATTTTTGGAAGCTGAAAAATTAGCCATCATATAGTTTTTAATCAGATCATCTGTATAGTTATTTATCAATGACATAAGAACATGTTTCCTATTTACAGCAAATTTTTACACTTTTAGTTGTAAAATTAAAGTTAAGTAGCCTATGTAGCCTTATATAGAAGTCCTGGTGTGGTGCTGTGGTGCTGCGGGTTAATGTGCTAAACTGCAAGATTGCTTTGAACATCAAGGTTGGTGATTTAAGCTCACCAGCCACTCCTTGGAAATCCTATACAGGATCACTATGAGTCGGTACCAATTTGATGACACTTAACAACAGCCTAATATAATGACTATACCAGTGCTTTGCTTTATTACTGATTTATTTTAACTGTGTTATGTACTTTACTTGATACAGGGTTAGGATTATGATCCAATAATAAGCACTGATTTATTTCTGTAAATTATATTGATTATGTCTATATAGTCTCAAAACCCACTGCAATTGAGCCAGTTCTGATTCATAGTAGGCCTATATAACATTTCTGAGGCTGTAAATTTTTACTGGAGCAGAAATTCTCCACTTTCCCATGTTGAGTGTCTAGTGGATTTGAACTGCTGACCTTGAGTATGATGTATAAAAGAAAGCAGAGTCTTCCTGACTTTTAGTAGGAAATGCAGGATGGCTAGTGTTGTTGACATGAAATAAGAAATTAGCCAAAAGTTACCCTAGAGAGCTAGATGACTTAGGGAACTGTTGACCTAGGTAAATATTTGAATTCAGGTCTATGTGTAATGCCAATCAAAGTTTTGCTTATTGTGTAGTAGTATCTTTGTGTTTGTGTGCATTTGTTTGTTTACTTATTTTGTGGGATGTGGTTTAGTATTATAGAGATAAATTCTCCAATATATTATTTGACTATTTTAAAGTTTTTAAAATAGCTTCACAAAAATACACATTAACAGGAAGTGGGGAAAGTTGGTGGAAGAATTGGCAACTTACTACATCCTCAATGGAGAGTTCAGGCAGGTAGCACTCTGTGTTACCAGTTATTTTTGTATGTGTGCCACTTTTACCAGATATATTGTCCTCAACTTTATCCTTTAAATTGTTTTTATCATTCTACTTTCATATCATGTTAATGCCTCAAGTAAGATCAATTATCTCCTTCTATCTTGATTACTGCTATTCGTAGTCTAAGTAACAACTGTATACATAGTCCTCTTGGCTATTTTTAGAGCAGTGTATTGTTTATGTTCCTCCTGTGTCAAGAAAATGATTAGCAAACGTAAAGCGCTGGTCTTCACTCACAGTTTTGAAAGTTGGCTTTCAAATTTGCATTTTAAAAACTTCATAGGAAACTGTGAAGCATTATAAAGTTTGAGAATCACCCACATTACTGCTCTATAGGAATTTCTTCTACTTACTCATGCCTGATACAGTTATTTTTTACACAATTCACTAATTTGTCACAATTCCAGCTGGTATACTCAGGAAGAAAACTTTAAACCAAACTGCAAGCTTTTGTAATGCTCTGTAAAGCATTGTCCATATTTTAGATAGACGTTTTAAAATTTGATTTCAAATACAGCATGGTGGGGGAGAAATCTCAGAAACCTCCCTGCCAACACACACATACACACACACACACACACACACTCTAAATTTAACAGGGGAGTTCAACATTAGCAAGGATTGCCTGTGCAGAGCTGTAATGCTTTCCCTTTTTAGGAATGTAGATTCTTAAACCAATAGTTTAAAGGTTGTAAAGCCCATCTCTTCTATTACCCTCTCTAATTTTAAGTGTTTTCATGGAGGGATATTTACCTCAGGAAAGGTTGTTGTGGTTTAATGCCATGGTGACACTGTGTATAGGGTATTCGGGGAGTGACTGGTAAGTTTGAAACACCAATCTTGTGGTTCAAACTGGCTTTTTGGTCCAGTGCTTATCATACAGCACCACACTAGGACTCCATTTGGAAGAGGTAGGGTAAAATGATCACTGCTGAGAGAGCAAACAAGATGAGAAGTTCAATTTGAGCATCCAAATTGAATCCTTGAATGTAATCGATCAGCTTGGCAAGACCAGTTTTTGTCAAAACAGGGATAAAACTATGATTGAAGTCAGTACAAGAGAGAATAAAAGGTGAAGAAACAAAGAACACTGGTATTGTTTTAGACTACCTAGGAGAACTTCAGCTGAAAGCTGAATAGAACACTGTGGAGAGTGATATGTGCTTAAGCAAGGAAATTTCTGAAAATTGAAAACAGGACAGCGGTAACCTAATAAAGATGAAAAGAGATCATCTATGATAAAATGGGATTCAAATCCTTTAAATGTTTATGTAATCTAGCACATACATGCAGGTTTTGGTCTTTGGAAAATGTATAGTTCATCTGTCATAACAGAAAAGATGACAGTTTAAGGACAGATGCTTCAAAAGGGGTTACAAATTCTTTTTGCATTGCTTAGATTTGTTTCAGTGAATTGAGGAAAGAAAATCACTGAAAGTGAAGAGTTTGTGGCAGCATAAATGGTTTGAGGAGAGGAGATGTAAAACAACTATCTTGCAGGGCAGGCAGATCACGGAAACAGCAAAGTATAGTTGGTATATTATACAAAGCTCTTAGTGCTATGGAGGTGATTTTAAGTTTAAAGAGAAATTAGTCAGCATATTAGTATGTTTTCTTACAGTTTTGATTGACTGTGAAATTGTAGTTTTAGAGGGAAAAGACATTTTGATTTAACCAGAGTTTTTTGTCAGGTGAGTTAAGTGGAATAGATAGAACAAATGAGGAAGTTGAACAAGCTCACAATGGAGTGATTATAATGAAGTACAAGTAACAGCTAGGTAATGAGCAAAGTGAAGACATGAGGAATGTGATATGAAGTGAAAAATTAACTGGAGGTCCCAGTTCTGTCAAATATTACTAAAACTGAGTAAAAGAGGGACAGATATGCAATAATTTCACTCAAAGCATGCTTCAAGGAATTTGGTAATTGCTATTTATAAGAATTGCTTTTAACTGATTAAATTTATACAAAGGAATTTAGGATCACTAGGTTTGCTTGGTGTTTGATCAGTCTAGATGTTCTAAATGTAAATTACCGGTGGTGGCCTAATCAACAGGAAACATAAAGACTAGAGTAACAATGATCTATCATGATTAGTTATCAAACAATGATTTATCATGATAAATCAATAAAAATTTTTGTTCTACTATATTTTTATTTATAAGGAAATACAAAAAGTTCATTTCAAAACTAGTTTAGTGTTTAAACTTATTTAAGGATGTCAAAAGCAGGATTATGGATAAGGGGTTACTTTAATTTGCAACGCATAGAGGCCCAGAATAACAGGAACTCCAAGAAAATAGAAGGCTTTTAATATTGTGTTTGTTTGTTTTTTTGTTTGCACATAAAAGAAACCCAGATGAGGCAGTTCAAGGATATCAGTTTAATGCCATCATCTATATTCTGTACTTTCCTCAAACTGGTCAGCATGTGCTTCTCATTGTCAATATCATCTAAGGCTTCTTAAATTGTCAAAATTTCAGTCATCATAGACACATTTCAGAAAGGATAAAAGGGAGAAGGAGAAAGGGAAAAAATTGAAAACACCACCAATAATTGCAAATTATGCTTCTTTCATTTTGCTGTATTTCCACTCATAACAATACAGAGTTTCAGTTAATTAGAAGAAAAGGGAGATTAATCTTGAGTGAGTAGCTGCATTTGTCACAAAGTGCCTAACATGTCCAATATTTTGGCAAATGATAAGATAAGTTATCAGACAATTGCCCTACAATTGATTTCCTATATTGTCTTTTTCATGCTTCCCTTTTTTTTGGTATTATGGTATTTTATATTTGACATATTAATTTTAAACATAATTTTTGCTTATAAGTAAGTACAGTAAGTTTGGGGTACTCAAACCATTTATATAGGCCAATAACAACAAAAACATTGAGATTAAAGAATATCAGTAGAAAATATGGTAAAAATCCAAGAAAATGCAAATTAGCAAATAGCACATTAATGGTCCCAGTCAATCTTCAAAGCAAGTTTAAGTTATTTTTAGTTTCTCAGCACCTTTCAGGATAAGTTAAAAGACCTTTAGAAATTAAGGATTTTGAGTGGAATTTAAAAGATTTGTTTTAACATTTGTCAATTAGTAATAAAAATAAAATATATTATTGACCGTGAATAAAGCTCTAAAAATATAAGTCATCAGAATTTGTGAAAAAGTGTTTTTGAAGTGAAAAATCTAAGTATCCCAGAGTGTGAGTCCAATAAAAGTCTGTCAGTAGTCCTTGTTTCTTTTCAAACAATGGAAAATTAGATTGAAATATGAGAGTGCTTCTCTGTCCTTGTCAGAAGAAACATTATGTATCAATCAGAGCAGATTAACTCTATCAGAGGA